CCAGGAGCAGGTCAGGCAAGGGGAGAAGTTTCTGCAGCCGCTGACTGGCTGGGAAGCAGCTGAACTGGGTCCCGTTGGGGCCCGCTTTCTGGGCCTGCAAGCCCAGCTGACTGAATTCTCTAGAGCTTTGGCCCAGCGGCGGCAGTGGCTGGCAGATGCTGAGAGGCTGTCGTGCTTCTTCAAGCAGGTGTGTGAGGGTTCTGCCCCTGGCTCCGGGTGGTCAGTAGGGCCCGAGGGGTGGCTGCCCAGCTCCTCCACAGCCTGAGCTCTTCCTGGTCTTCAGTCTGACCCCTAAATCCAACCACTGGGGATGTGGCCTGGGGCCAGCACCCTGTGGGGATGGGAAACGGGGAGAAGGCTCAGCAGTCTTGGTGCGTTCCTCCCTCAGTGCCTGTGTGGCCTTGGTGTTGCAGGCCTCGACATGGGCTGAGGAGGGGCAGCGGGTGTTGGCAGAGTTGGAGCAGGAGCGCCCAGGGGTTGTGCTGCAACGGCTGCAGCTGCACTGGACGAAACACCCTGAATTGCCTCCTGCCCACTTCCGAAAGATGTGGGCTCTGGCCACGGGCCTGGGCTCTGAAGGTATCCGCCAGCAGTGCCGCTGGGCCTGGGCACAGTGCCAGGACACCTGGCTGGCCCTGGACCAGAAGCTAGAGGCTGCACTGAAGCCACTACCGACGGGCAGCACAGCTAGCCCGTGTGTCAGCCAGGTCCCAGCTGTGCCTGCCACCCCTCCGCTGAGGAAGGCATACAGCCTTGATCGGAATCTGGGGCAGAGTCTCAGAGAGTCTGTCTACCACTGCCACCAAGCGGCCAGTGTGGCTGCCTGTCACAGACCAGAGGCTGGTGCCCAGCCAGGGTTATCCCCCACCATGCTTCTGCCAGGCAGCTCTGATCCCAGGAGTCCCAGCAGGTACAGGCATTGGGCAGGGCAGGGAGGGCAGTGGCAGGGCAGATGGCAGGGTCTTGACTTCTCCTACCTTGGTAGGCTCCAGTTGGTGTTGGCAGAGATGGTGGCTACGGAGCGGGAGTATGTCCGTGCCCTTGACTATACCATAGAGAACTACTTCCCTGAGCTGGATCGCCCCGATGTGCCCCAGGGCCTCCGTGGCCAGCGTGCCCACCTCTTCAGCAATCTGGAAAAGCTGCGTGACTTCCACTGCCACTTCTTCCTGCATGAGCTGGAGGCCTGCACGCAGCACCCACCCCGGGTGGCCTATGCCTTCCTGCGCCACGTAAGCCCCCTAAGTCACACTGCCCCCTACTTATCCTGCCACACTCAATAAAAGCTGTTGGGCACATGCTTGGTGCCAGGCCTTGTGCTGGCTATATCTGTGAACGAGACTAACAGGGCGCTGCCCCTCAGGATGCTGATAGTTAGGTAGAGGAGACATAAAAGTGAAAAAGGTAATTCCAGGTTATAGTTGGGGCTTGGAGGAAAATAATCAGGAGAGAAGATTGAGTTACCAGTGGGGCAGGGTTTAGAGCAGTGAGGCCTGTGAGGAGCTGATGTTTGAGCTCAGGCCAGAGGGCGGGGCTGGAGTCATGGTGTCCCATCAGAGGAAAGAGCAAGTGCAAAGCCTGTGGCAGGAAAGAGGCCCAGTGGTCCAGGAAGAGACGGGTCAAGGTGGCTGAGTGTAGTGAGCAGAGAAGTCCAAGGTGAGGTAAGACCAGAGTGTTCTCAGAGCTGTGGGAGGAGCCGAGCTGGGTACAGGACTCCTTCGCTGTGGGCAGTCCCCCTCTGCATAGGGCCTGCTCTTGCCAGATCACCCCTTGTTCAAAGCAAGGGCAGCTTTTGGGAGCTGGCCCCCTTGCACCTGGGGCTGAGTTACGTGTCCTCACAGAGGGTGCAGTTTGGGATGTATGCGCTGTACAGCAAAAATAAACCTCGCTCCGATGCCCTGATGGCTAGCTATGGCCACTCCTTCTTCAAGGTAGGCGAGCCTGAGTGCAGGGGGCGGGGGATGGCGGGAGTACCCTGAGGCTGCCTGATGCTCTCCACCCACCTGGCAGGACAAGCAGCAAGCCCTGGGGGACCACCTGGACTTGGCCTCCTACCTGCTGAAGCCCATCCAGCGCATGAGCAAGTACGCACTGCTGCTCCAGGAGCTGGCGCGGGCCTGCGGGGGTCCCAGGCAGGAGCTGAGTGCTCTGCAGGCTGCCCAGAGCCTGGTGCGCTTCCAGCTGCGACATGGCAATGACCTGCTTGCCATGGACGCCATCCAGGGCTGTGACGTGAGTCATGCCAGGCCGTGGTGGGCAGGTGCAGTGGGTGTCAAGGGAGGGGGCCAAAGAAGCTGGGCACCCACTGGGCCCCAACTTGGCAGGTCAACCTCAAGGAACAGGGGCAGCTGGTGCGACAAGATGAGTTCACAGTGCGTGCTGGGCGCCACAAGTCCCTGCGCCGAGTTTTCCTCTTTGAGGAGCTGCTGCTCTTCAGCAAGCCGCGCCGAGGACCCACAGGCATCGACATGTTTGCCTACAAGCGCTCCTTCAAGGTAGGCCCACCGCCCCACCCTGGGCCCCTGCTTCCCCATGCCTCACCACATCCCTCTCCGCCACACAGATGGCAGACCTTGGTCTCACCGAGTGCTGTGGGGATAGCAACCTGCGCTTTGAGATCTGGTTCCGCCGTCGCAAGGCCAGGGACACTTTTGTGCTGCAAGCTGCCAGCTTGGCCACCAAGCAGGCTTGGACGGCTGACATCTCCCGCCTGCTCTGGAAGCAGGCCGTCCACAACAAGGGTAGGTCCCTGCCCCTACTTCACCCCCCGCCCCCCCAAGCTTCTGTTGTCCCACAGGGGCCAGAGAGGGCCTAGGGACCTGGAAGTGCTTGGGAAGTGGGGAGGAGGCCCAGCAGCAGCCAGCATAGGGGAAAGAACCCCAAAGTCAGCAGTCCTGCTGTCACTGTCTCTGACTGTGGACACAAGCTTTTTTTTTTTTTAATATTTTTAAATTGATTTCAGAGAGGATGGGAGGAGAGAGAAACATCAATGATGAGAATCATTGATCGGCTGCCTCCTGCATGCCCCACACTGGGGATTGAGCCCACAATCGGGCATGTGCCCTGACTGGGAATTGAACCATGACCTCCTGGTTCATAGATCAACACTCAACCACTGAGCCATGCTGGCCAGGCCATGGACACAGTCTTAATCTCTCTGAGTATCAGAGGCCTCGTCTCTAAAAGGGGAATTATACCTGCCCACAGGATTGTTGGGAGGAGCGAGTCTGGCACCTCCAAGGCTCAGTGCATGAGATGGTTTATCTGCTGGGAATGGGTGTCAAGGAAACACTTATTTAAGGGGGAGGAATAGTAGAGGCCGAGGGGCAGGCTAATGTCACAAAGGGCTCCAGCTATGCCCTCTCTCCACCCAGAGATGCGCATGGCTGAGATGGTGTCCATGGGTGTGGGGAACAAAGCCTTCCGGGACATCGCCCCCAACGAGGAAGCTATCAGCGACCGCACCATCAACTACGTTTTAAAGTGCCGAGGTAGCCTTGTGGGTGGGGTAAGGAAAGCTGCGCGGGAGGCAACGAGGACCTCTGTCAGCCCCACTCTTCGCTCCCCTCAGGACCTTGGTCCAGGTGGGCTCTCACCTGTCCTAACCTGACCCTCTCTCTTATGCAGAAGTTCGTTCTCGGGCCTCCATTGCTGTGGCCCCGTTTGACTGTGAGAGCCCCTACCTGGGGGCCTCGAGCTCCCTTCCTGCAGACCCTGCCTCTGGCTCAGTACTAGGGTCCCTCAACCTGCACCTGTACAGAGACCCGACTCTCCAGGGCCTCCGCTGGCCCCTGTATTCCACCAGCTTCCCAGAGGAAACAGCGCTGGAGGCTGAAGAGGAGCTGGGCAGCCAGCCATCCTTGAGTAGGTCTGGGCTTAGCCAGAGGCAGGAGGGCATGACTTGGGCTCTGGGCCACCCCTGCTGACAGCTCACCCACTCTCCTGCCCTAGCTCCTGAGGACTCAGAAGTCTCATCCCAGTGCCCATCAGCCAGTGGCTCCAGTGGCTCTGACAGCAGCTGTGTGTCAGGGCAGGCTCTGGGCAGGGGCCTCGAGGACTTGTCCTATGTGAGTGCCATTTTCCCTCATACGCACCAGCCCCTCCCCAACCCAGTCTGGGCCTATGGCTGCCTTTCCTTTAGGTGGGAGTCGGGGTGGGTGGACCCTGAGCTGGGAAAATAGGCACTTATGCCTAGGTTGGCACCACAGGTCTGAGCCTAGGCTCGAATGTGAGCAGTGGATCCAGCAGCCTATAACTCCAAACAACCTCACCTCTGTCTGGATCTACTGTGACCAGGGCATAGCTGGCACCTGGGCCACTTCCAGCCCACACGCACTGCCCTGTTGACTACCCTTTCTGACATCTGTACCCACTGGACTCCAGGGGACTCTGCTGCAGAGCCTGAATGAGCACCCTGATCCTGGGCTCCTGGCTCCATGTCCCCTTCTGTCTCTCCAGTTCCCACCCAGTTGTGGGTTAGGATTAGGCTAGAGCCCTCCCTGCCCTGCCCATTAATTTAATGCTCTAGGCTGGTGGGCACCAAGTAGCCACAGCAGCTGTGTGTCAGGGCAGGCTCTGGGCAGGCGCCTCGAGGACTTGTCCTATGTGAGTGCCATTTTGCCTCATACGCACCAGCCCTCGGGAGGAGCACGGGCAAGTCCCAGCAGCTGCTTCCCAATCTTGGTCTCAAAGCCAAGCTCCTCAAACTAAGGGACAATCCTATTGGGCCCTTACTGTTGCCTGCCCTGGCTCCCCAGGCCCAGCCCCTTCTTACCTGGGTCAGTTTGGTTCTATTGACTCTGCCTTTTGAATAGCTTTCAATTAGATTTGTTGTCTAAACTTATTTCACTGGTTGTTAGGTTTTTGGCATCTCAGAGAGAGATCCTAGGACTTTGACTTGTTATTTACTCTTTTATTTGTTTATAATAAAAAATAGACTGATACATGAATTCTGGGACATCCTTGGTTCAAAAGAGTCTTGGAAGCCTGGGACATGTGGGGGTAGTGTCTCTGGGTACCCTAGCCCTCTTGTAAGTACTTGCCCAAGATAGAGTAAGAGACAGACCTAGACAGGCCCCTCTGGACGAGCAGGTTCACGCAGCAGCCATATTTCCTGGCGAAAGGCAGTGTGAGCTGGAAAGAAAGGTCATTCTTATCCCTGATTTCCTGTCCAGTTGTCTGCTCTAGCTCTGTGTGGGCAGGTCTTCCTGGCTGGGCAGGGGCAGGAGCAGGGACAGGGTAAGGCCAGTAGTTGGGAAACTTTAATGCTCTTGGACTCAGTTCTGCCTAAGGACATCTTACAGGGCTGTGGCTAAGAGTGGCTACCAGGGAACTGACTAGAGGGTCAAAAAATGCCGCTATTTTCCCACTTTCTAGCTGTAGATGCTGATTTCACCTTTCTAATGACACCAGAGGCCTAATGATTTGGCACTAGTGTGTTTGTGGTAAAGGTGTTACAATAATGTACTTGATTACAGAAGTACCAGATTAAAGAGAAATTAGCTAAATCTTTTTCACCTACAATGTTAAATATAAATATAGCCTAAAATCATTTTAAGGAAGAAAAAACAAACCCTGGGTCATTTCTTCGCCCTTACTGAACATTTTCTTTTTCCATATAAAAATGCTTTAAAGCTGCTTAGCTATAAAAGGAATGTACAAAAGTGGTGACGTTATGGTTAAGTAGGTGAAGTTGGTATCACATGTTGAAAAAGTCTGACTCCCAGTAGTTTCTCTGATTTCAGTATCCCCAAATCTTGGGCTTGTATGATGGGCTTCCCTGAGAGTGGCCATTGTTAGTGATGAAGGCAAAATTAGTATCATTGGAGGAAAACTACAAAACCAAGTAGCCTGAATACTGCTTTTTGACCACTCTGGACTGGTTAATTTCAGCTCTCCTTCCTCCCCACCCCCAACTGGACCCAGGGATCTGAGGTCTAGCTGTCCACCTTGCCTTCTGGGAAGCAAGACACAGTGCCCATCTGAGGCATCCTGCATCCCAGTGGGGTGCAGGTGGCTCTCACCTCCACCCAGCTGTGCAGGCGTTCCTGGGTATGCCGGTCATTCTTGAAGCCGGTGATGGCCAGCAAATCCACCACAAACTGCTTGGGGCTGATGTGCAGGGTCTGCCAGGAGAGCCCACAGTCAGGCCGGGCCGGGGTAGCTGTCTGACATATTTGCTCTCAGCCCCTCAGAGTGGGATGCACAGCAGGGACTCCCTTGGGCCTGCAGTAGCTGCAGGGACCAGGGGGCACTGTCACCCCACACTGCCTTGGCCAAGGCTTGGTCCAAATGACCTTGCCCTGTCTTCCTGTCCCCGTTTCTCTTGCCACCCTTCTGTCCCTGACCTACTCCCCACTTATTGTGGGGTAAGAGGACAGGAGGAGAAGGAACCTGTCGTGTACATACCCACAGTCGGTTGGCCAGGGAGACCACCTTGGCTGTGATGGCTTTGGGGTCCTTTTGTCTGATGGAATCCAGGATGATGTCAGTCAGGAAGCGGTGACATTTCTGTGCATAAAACATCTCTTCCCAGGACAGAGAGAAACTCAGGAAGGTCACCTCTATAGAGGAGAGAGTGGATGTGGCCACTTCTGCCCACATCTAGGGCCTTAGAGGCAGCCTGTGGTAAGGGCTGCTGAGGGATACTCCCCCTGGAGGGCCCTCGGCGGGGCTCAGCCTCAGGCATCCTCACCTCGGGGCAGGGGGCTGGCTGAGGGCAGTGTGTGCCTCAGGATGTCCATCTGTGTGGTGTAGACGATGCTGTCCTCAAAGAACATGCAGGAGCCATCATTGCCCACCACAGGGGGGTGGCTCACCTTGAGGATGACCCCTGCGCTGTCTAGGTCACTGGCCTCAGGCAGAGGCTGCTCAGGGTCAGGGCTTTCTGTAAAAATGTGGGGGGAGGGTTCTTAAGCCACCTCAGAGCTCAAGCAGGGAGGGACCTCTGGAGTACAGTCAGTCACCCCAGCCTTCCGCAGCTGCTGCCTCCAGCTTCTCGGAAGTGGCACCCTGGGATGGCAGGGGGCTGTCCTGGCTCTCCTCTCTCCATTGCCCTGGAATCATGCAAGCCAAATCCTAAATGGCAGGACTCTAAGGAACTCTGCAAATTTCGCTGCTGAACTAAGACTGGTATCAGATAAGGCCGATAATAACACAGCTGGGGACTGGGAACCTTGGTAAAGTTGTAAAACGAGAGGAGCTTTTGGGGCGAGTCTTTGATGTCTGTCCACTCTGAAAAGTATGCTTGACGGAGCAGAGAAAGCTGTCCATCATGGCCATTCTTGGCACATGTGCTCTGCACCTCTCCCCCAGACACAGCACACCTCGCTCTCCAGCGCGGTGCCCTGTCCTCCCACCTCAGTAACCATCCACTTCCTTGCAGTCACCCACACCAGAAACCTGACCCCTCTGACCCAATCCTTATCCCCTTCTGCCCCCGTCCTGTCCAGCCTGTTTCATCTAGAATGACCTCCCCACTCTAACACTCCCCTTCCTGCTGCTGCCTTTCCTCTGCCTCTGGAGCCAGCTTTCTGAATGTACACCTGACTGCTCCCCTGTTTGTTTGTTTTTAAATATATTTTTATTGATTTCAGAGAAGGGAAAGGGCAAGAGAGATAGAAACATTAATGATGAGAGAATCATTGATCGACTACCTCCTGCTCTCTCCCTACTGGGGATTGAGCCTGCAACCCGGGCATGTGCCCTGAGCAGGAATTGAACCATGACCTCCTGGTTCATAGGTTGACACTCAACCACTGAGCCACACTTGCCAGCTATTTTTAATTTATTTTACTCTCTTGTTTAAAATGCTGCAATGGCTGCCCACTCCCCTTAGGATCAGAGCAGAGTGCCAGGTCCTGAACTTGGGCCACAAGACCTGTTCTGATTACTTTGTCTTCAGTCTTATCTCCCTCTAGGTGAAGCCTGGCCTCCAGCTAGACTGATGACCTGCTTCCATAAGCACCAAGGCTTCTCTTCCTTCCTCTGTGACTCTCCAGGCCCCAGCCTCCTCTGTGCTCCCTTACTTCATAGGCGCCCCCTTCCCATACCCTTTATGTGGTTTCTCAGCCCCTCAAGCCATGCCATTGTGTTGGTCACATATCTGTATCCGCTGCTTGGCACAGAGTGGACTCACCTCTCTCCTTTGACTTTGGCTTGCCCCAGTCCTTCAGGGTGACAGCTCTTTTTGTGGGGAAGTATGGTTTAAACGTTGGCTCTGGCCCTTTGTCTTTGGCTCCAGCTCCAGCCCCTGCCTGCAGACCTGGGTCCTTCTCTGGGGCTGTGGCATGACCTTTCCAGGAAGCTGAGGTACTGGGCTGGGAAGCAGCCTCACTCCCGGAGGGGAGCTGCAGGGTGGCCTCCTCCAAGGCGCTGCTCCGAGGAGCCGGCAGAGGCTGGAATTCCCATTGTTTGCAATTGACCATGTCCCATTCCCTCACCAAGGAGATGAGTTTTTGCATGGGTGTGACAGGAGGGTCTTTGGTTTCACATTTCTGTGTGAGGTTGACTGTGGTGGACTTCTTTTTGGGGGGACTTTCAGGGCAGGCCCCCCAGTGTCTGGGGTTGGCACATAGGCTGGAACAGTGGGAGTATGTGCTGGGATTGCCTGCCCGCTTGGCACCTCGGCACAAGGACATCTGGATGGCGCGGGAGTACTGCTCAGTCTCCTCCATTTGGCTGGACCTGGCGAGGGTCCCCTTGACCTTGTTCCAGGGAGTCCTGTCACTGCAGTCCTGGAAGTCCCCAGGCATGCAGGCTATGGTCTGGGGAGGGAGGGCATAACAGCTCTGGGCATGTGCTTCTACATTGGAGCCTCCCCAGGTCTAATAAGCTGGGCCTCCGAGACTTTACTTGCTCACCCAGAATAATCCCATTCCCGCACCCCCCCCCCCCCCCCCCCGGCCCCCCCACGGG